GATACACCTAAGAGTAGGACTGCTGGGTCACATGGAAACTTTGTGTTCAACCTTTTGAGGAAATGCAAACTGTTCCAAAATGGGCTGCATCATTTTACTTTCTGAGCAGCAGTTAGAAAGTTTTGACTTTTCACATCCTCACCAATGATTGTCATTTTCTTTTTAAAAATTCTCTTACTGGATGTGAAGTATCTAATTATAGTTTCGATTTTCATTTCCCTCATTACCAATGTTGTTGAGTGTACTTTCATGCGCATGTTAGCCATTTGTATATCTTCTCTAGAGAAATGTCTATAAAATTCTTTCTCCATTTTTAGAAGATGGAGATGTTTGCCTTTTTATTGTTGAGTTGTAGTAGTTCCTTATATATTGCAATGTATAGTTCCTTATATACCCCAATGTAAGTCCCTTTTTAGATAATGTGATTTGAGAATATTTTCTCCCATTTTGAGTTATCCTTTTGTTTTCTTCATAGTGTCCTTTTTTAAAATTGAAATATAGTCAGTTTACAATGTGTCAATTTCTGCTGTGCAGCATGAAATAGTTCAGTCTTACATATACATATATTTGTTTTCACGTTCTCCTTCATTATAGGTTACTGCAAGATATTGAATATAGTGCCCTGTGCTATGCAGTATAAACTTGTTGTTTATCTGTTTTATATATTGTAGTTAATATCTGCAAATCTCAAACCCCAATCTATCCCTTCCTGCCCCCTTCCCCTCCTGGTAACCATAAGTTTGTTTTCTACGTCTGCTTTGTAAATAAGTTCATTTGTCTTTTTAGATTCCACATATAAGTGGCATCATATGGTATTTTTCGTTCTCTTTCTGGCTTACTTCACTTAGAACTACAATCTCCAGATCTATCCATGTTGTTGCAAATGGCATTATTTTATTCTTTTTTATGGCTGAGTAGTATTCCATTGTATAAATATACCACAATTTCTTTATCCAGTCATCTGTTGATGGGCATTTAGATTGTTTCCATGTCTTGGCTATTGTAAATAGTGCTGCTGTGAACACTGGGTGCATATATCTTTTCAAATTAAAGTTCCTGGATATATGCCCAGGAGTGGGATTGCTGGATCATATGGTAAGTCATAGTGTATTTTTTTTAAAAAAAGTATATATATATCTTTTGGGAGGAGGTAATTAGGTTTATTTTTCAATGGAGCTACTGGGGATTGAACCCAGAACCTTGTGCATGCTAAGCATGTACTCTACCATGGAGCTATACCTACCCATCTGCCTTAAATTTTAAGTCCATACACATTTTGTATAATTAGTGTTAAGGTAGGATTGATGTCTGTCACTTTGGTATTTGTTTTTTTATACGTCTTGTATTTATGTTCCTCTAATCCTCTGTCACTGCCTTTGTGTTAGATATTTTTTAAAAATTAAATCTCTATTTCTAGTATAACATTTTAATTCCCTTGTCATTTATATCTCCCACACACATATGGTCATTTTCTTAGTTTAATGTGAGATGACATGTTACTGTCAATAAAAAAAGGAAATGGAGATTTTGAACCTAGTTGCTTTTTAGATTTGATTTAAACACTTTGGAACAAATTCTGTCCATAATTAACACTAGAGGGAAACAGTGGGTTGTCCTGCAAATAACATGGTCTTTAGAGTTAATCAAATGTTTTCTGGGACTGCCATAACGAAGTACCACAGGCCGGGTGGCTTAAACAATACAAATGTAATTGTCTCAGAGTTCTGGAGGCTAGAAGTCAAGCATCAAGTTGTCGGTAAGGACTGGTTCCTTCCGAGGGCTGTGAGAATCTGTCCCATGCCTCTCTTAGTGTCTGGGGTACCTTGGTTTGTGGATGGCATTCTCCTTGTGTCTTCACATCATCTTCTATGCATGTCTGTCTCTGTGTCCAAATTTTCCCTTTTTATAAGAACACAAGTTATATTGGATTAGGGGACCACCCTAATTGACATCTTGATCATCTGCCAGAACACTTTTCAAATAAGGTCACATTTACAGGTACCGGAGAGTATATCTTTTGAGTGACCACAGTTCAACCCAATAGTGTTTATAAAAAGGCCTAGCACTGGTGTATTTCATCCAACCAGACATACAGAGAAAGCTGTTCTGAAATATGCCTATCCTGACCGTCTAAGCTTAGGGGACATTCTTCATTCCAGTATTCCCTGATACTCTCCACGTGTCTTGGGGTCAGGAATTCATCTTTGTGTTTCTCGTTGAGCTTTGTGTGTAGATATTTAATTGAATTGTGAGCTTTATAAGAAGTTATTTGGGAGTCTTTCCAAGTTGAATTTTTAAGCCATATGACAAGAGTTGTATTCCCCCCCAACCCCCCTTTAGTTTTACCTCGTTGTTACTTTCTCTCTTTTCATGTTTTGGAGGCCTCTAGAATTCTTTCCTGTTTCTAGTTTTTTATGTATTAAGGTCATTTGGATTTAGATGTTGTTCATTAATAATATGTGTCTGTATAGACGTTTTCTTCCCAGTGGGTTGTATATATTGTTTTATTTGGTCATCACGGTAAATGATTTAAATAATTAGCAGAAAATGAATGTTTCAGGTTTATGAACGTCTTCACCCATGATTAGTTTAATGAAACTATACTTTTGTGTTTCTCAGTGACTTTATTGTTTTTAATCATCATAGTTTTAGCATAGTTTCTAAATAGTTGGTATATTGTATGTGTGGCTGTGTACTACATTTTCAGTATCCCATAACTTCATTTGCATTTTGCATATTTCATTGAGTTTTCAGCATAATTTAAGATGTCTCTTGTTGGATGTTAACTTTTTGTTGTCATAAGTAACAGCTTTAGATATCTTTCTACAATTCTTTTACTTGTTTAGAATATTTCCTTTGGGTTAAAATGTTAGGAGTGGAATTAATAGTTTGATGGTTTTACAGTGGTAGAGCAGTGTTTCTTTCCTGATTTTATGGCTTAGGAAACTGAGGCTGAATTAACTGATATGTTTAAGATGACACAATTTGTGAAGGAGGCAGCTTATTACTGCTTTGTCTGGTTGTGTGATTCTGGCTTCTGGCTTTACCTGATACCACTCGTGTTCTTTCTCATCTGTCTGTTACTGAAGGCATGTGTTTTTGTGGCTTTAGTTCCTAATAATATAATCACTTTGCAGTAGTAATATGAGGGAAAGATGGAACTAGTATCATGTCATAGATTGATTATGGCTGAATTTGTCATAAAGCATGTAATAATCATGGGGTTTTATTGTTACTGGATAGTAGTTGATAATTTGGGATCCTGAGTTGGACTGCTCAGATCTGAATCCTGTCTCTGCCACTTACTAAATAACTATATGACTATAGGCATATAGTAAATTAGGAGTAATAATATAGTATCTACCTTAAGAGTATTAAAGAGAGAACAGTGCCTGGCATATAGCAAACATTAAGTGAATGGTAGTACTACATATAAAATCATTTAGTACTCAGATAAACAAGCAAATTCTGTATTTAGCAATAATTGCCAAATTAACTCGATTCATTACAAGTCAAATTATATCAGAAATTTATGGGAACCTATTCAAATTGTGGTTTTCAGTACAGAGGCATGTGAAAGATTTGTTTTTCCATCCCATCTTGGTATCTTGTTTCTAAAGTTTCAAAGCCAACATGCTTTGAAGTCATGTTTTTTTCTGATAACTTACAAAATGATAAGAGGCAAAAATGGCCCCTTGGGACTTTGTTTTTTAAAAGGTGTACTTTCTGTCTCATTTCCTAGTAACTATATACGTGAAGAACTAATCACACTGTTTTCAATAAAGGCATTCCATGAAATTTAACTTATTTCTCTCTGAATGCACAATCTTGGATGAATGATAACTTATAAATCATTGAATTGAGCTCAATACTTTGATATCCTTGAGCCTCAGATATTGTTCATCATTTTTATCTGAATGATTTCAGTCATTTCATTCAGCATATTCTTTATTGAACACTTAATCTGTGTCAGGTGGGTACTGTTCTAGGCATTAAGGAGGGACAGTTGAATCTGAGGGAGTAACTCGCCAAGTCTTTTTCGAGACATGGCATTTATAGAAAGTCAGAATATTTGTATGTCCCCTTGGAGTAAATGGAGTAGACTGTCCTTTGTCCAAGTACCCTGGGTGCTTCTTTTAGCTACCCAGAAATATTTTAGCACATGTGAACTCCTTTGCGTGATTTATCAGGTGGAAAGCTGGGTCCCACTGAACAAAAAGCTGTCTTCCTCTCAGGGCAGAAGACGTGTATTGTTTATAGGGTGTTATGGACATGGGTTTAAAAGCTGAGATGGAAGCATCTGGATTGCAGGCTAATTAGGTATATTTTTGGAGAAAAGATGCAGCCAGAGTCTCTACTTTGGATAGGTCCAAGGAGCTTGACTCGTATTGTGCTTGCATGAATGAATGAATGCTCTTGGAATTGTGTAGTAGACTGTTCTAGATGCAGCCTCTCTTGGATGTCCTGGGAAAAATCCAGGTCAGTTGTATTGACATTGCAGGAATCTATCTTGTAGCTTTCAGGAATATTTTGTTAGGGCCATTATTGTTAACTACTTAATAGGAATATGTGTGTTTGAGAAGGACGTAGAGCATCACCTGCAGAAGGGACCGCATTCTCTGCTCTCCCGCCCCAGCCATGTTGTGATTCAAGGACTAGGGCAAAGGTATCTTTTCTTTGGAATGATACTGTTTATCTGTTATTTCAGTTTTTAGCTCTTTAAAAATGGAATAGTTTACTTATTTTACCAGAATGCAGGTAGATTACTTGGGTAAAATAAATATAAATTGAGAGCTAGTACTGACTGTATCAAGGGCTATGTTATGAACAGTTAGTGCAAAGTAATTTTGTTGTACATATGTTATAATTGTTATTAAGCCTGGAGTGTTTTCATCCAGTATTTTTTAGGTAATGCTTTCTCAGAAGGCTAATGGGAAGATGATGTATTGTTTCAAAAGGTTTTGATTCTTACTGATGTTCCCTGTTTTGTCTGTCTAAAGTGTCAACCCAAGAAAAAGGCTACACCACTGAAGTATGAAGTTGGAGACCTCATCTGGGCAAAATTCAAGAGACGCCCATGGTGGCCCTGCAGAATTTGTTCTGATCCGTTGATTAACACACACTCAAAAATGAAAGGTAATACTTGCAGTTGATTATACATAAGATACAGTATGGAATTACAAACCTGCAGTTGCCTTCAGTAATAATTCATTTTTACCTTTGAGCATTTCATAAATGAATTGTTATTACTTGGGTTTTTTGAATCTTTTTGTTCTAATTTATTTTACTGTATGATTTTAAAATTCTCAATTACTCTATCTGTAGAAGCCAGGAAAATGTTAGGCTTATTACCTAAAGTTTATTTTGTCCAGAATTACTTTTCAGTATATTGTTTTTCTACTTCAGTCTTCAGGTTTGTATCTTTTTTGTTAGTTTGAAAGCTGAAATGGTTATAAAGAATGCTTAGAAGTTATTCTGAATTTTTAAATCTTGATTTATTCTCTTTAGCTACTATAGTTTCTTATTTGATTGTTCTATTTGAATTTCATGTATCATAACTTTAAAATGCTATAATATAGAGGCCAGAACTTCATTTTGAGCTCCCTTTTTTCTATTAAGATAGTTTGTGATTTACCCCATTCTTTACCTTTCCTTTCAAAGAGTAACCAATTGTTACTAATACTTTTTTTCTAGACTTTCTTTATGTAAGTCCAAATGTATATATTCATCTCCCTACCCTCTTTGATTTTAACATAAAAGTAGCGTATTGTATGTATATTCTGCAGTTTGTTCACTTGGAGATTTTTCCATGTGAGCTTATTGAAAACTTTCCCCGTTTTCTTTTTTAAGTGCATGGTTTTCCACTTCTTGAGTATGGTATCCTTCTTATAACCGTTTCGCTGTTGATGGATGTGCGGGCTGTTTCTAACCTTGTGTCGTAAAGACTGCCTGTCTGCGTACGTGCATGTGTTTATGTGCAACACAAACAGTACCGTAAAGAATGACTGTGTGTCACGTGTGCATGTCTGTCTGTAGGACGATTTACCCAAAGTGGGATGCTGGACTTGATTTTATATTTTGGATATTAATATTGAGGTGCCCAAAGACCTTTATAGCTCACCATTTTAAAGAAGATGATATCAAACTTTGTGACCGACCTATTTGCACATTTAAATTCTACTGGTAGAAAATTCTTTTAGTCTTCCCCTTGTACCCTTCCTGTGCCCACGAGACTGCTGGCTTCTTACTCACTGTGGTGTTCCTT